CTCCACTGGACCCTATCCTGAGCCAGATCAATCCAATCCATACCATAATATCTCTCTAAGATTCAGTTTAATATTGTCTACCCACCTATGCCTTGGTCTTCCCAGTGATCTCTTTCCTTCTGGCTTTTCCACAAATATCCTATTCTGTCCACTGACATGCAGAAAACGGTAGTTCAATATCATGAATTCTAAACACAAATCTATATTGTATGTGATTGTCAGAATGTACATTTCCAATCTAAACACCCTGTATATTTTCAAAATCTATCAGCATTAAAAATTTCTGGATACTTGATTGAATTATACAAGCGCAAACAAAAATTCACATAGAACTCAGTTGTGCTGGAGAGAATGGAAATGAAGAAACAGCTGCAATGTTCCTCAGGGCCACAACCTTCATGAAGATTTATGGCATTTGAAAAAAAAACAGATAATGTAGTTGCATAAGTTCTCCTTCCAGTAGGCTAAAAATATGACACATATATTACTCTTCCAACATTATGACATACTTGAGGGCAGAATTCTACTTTAAATGTTCACACCCTAGACCTAAATACAGCATAACTTGTAAAGTTTTGAATAAATTTCTGGTAACGTGTGTACCTGAGGAGTATGCAGTGAATTAAATTTCATATTTGAAATACTTCTCATACCAATTACATACGGAGTCAGGATAGATCAGTTGGTATAGAGAAGGGCTACAGGATGGATGGCCAGAGCTCAATTACTGGCAAGGGCCACAGATTTTTGTCTCCTCCACAATGGCCAGACCAGCTGTGGGGACCACCAAGCCCCCTATGCAATAGATAATGGGGCTCATTCCCCATGGGTAAAACAGCTGGGATGTGAAGCCCCCACCTAGTGCCAAGGTCAAAAATGGTGAAGCTATACCTTCATTCCCTCATTCATTTTCATGGCAGGGTGCTTAATTAATTAATCACAGGGACAACTTTACCTTACCTTTTATCCGTTTCACAGAACTATGTATACTGCACTCTTCATACTATCTCACAAAAATATCACACTGCACAACTTCAACAAAGACACGATTTCGAGAAACGGAACAGGGCTAAGTTTACACTAAGAATTACTTTTTTAATATTAACATGTGTAATATTTTGATACAGTCTGACAAAAAATACTGTCATCTAAACATCTGTACCAATCAAAAGAACGATTCTCAATTAGTGTCCAAAATGGGGCCTAGATCCATTAGCATTTTTTTTTCGATTTAATTAAATTAACGTTGGACAATGTATATGATAGATACATATTTTAGTTATTTTAATGTGTGAACATGGCATGCAATGAACTGGTTTGACGTGGATAAGTAAGCACCTGAAGATGGCATTATTATGCCGAAACATGTAGTGCGAGGGAGAGAAGGAGATAAATGAGTGTATGCACTGCAAGACGGATTAAATAAATCATGGACTTAAATCAGTGCAACAGGACGCTAAAATATAACATTAATTAAAGAATGCAATAAATTTAATAAAACATGTAGGGCACAAGACTAACTCAACAGAGAAAGAACCCTTTTTCAAAAGTTGATAGTCACTCAACTAGCCCAGAAATTCCACCTTTTATGGACCTGAAGGTCCATTACCATGTTTACAGGAACTGTCCACTTCTGGCTACTCTGAGCCACATGAATAGAGTCCACACTGTCAATTCTCTACTTCTCAAAGTCAATTCTAATATTATTCTCCACATACTGTAGCCTGAGTAGTAGTCCTGAGCCAGATGAACCCAGTTCACACCTTCATATCATATCTATCTTCCCCTCCATTTAGATTTTCTGACTAAAATTTTGTATGAATTTCCCATCTCCCTCATGCATGGTATATGTCCTCACTATTTCATTCTCCTTGATTTTATCTCCCTGTGTCAAAATGTTCCAGGATTTTTGTTGTTCCATTACACAGTCTGAGAATAAAATATGCAGGATAAACAAGAGTTGAGTTACTTGCGAATGACAATCATATTAAGGGAGAAGACATAAAGGGTGCACCTACTTTCATATCTCACTTCATCCCCCCCCTCAACCAAAAAACCTTTATTTTTAAGAAATTATAACTAAATTTATAATACAGTGAACAAGGTAACCTTGGTAAATTTGTGAGATGAACTTTACTCAGTGATTGGCCAGGTGTATCCTGAGTAAAAATATGATATCTGAAAACGTCTCCATTATCAGTCTCAAAAATGTCAGATTTGTATTCCATATAAATGCTCCTAATTCCCAAGGAGACTTTGTCACATGCAGTCACCATTAAAACACTGGATTTTATATGATAAAATTGGCTCTGTACCTAAGCATCAAGCCATGAATTTATACTGGGGGTCAGAAGTAACGCTCCAAACATTCTTAACTGAAACTGTATTATTCTCATTGGATGTGAGACTGGATGGGCATGAAAGTTGGTGTGAAGATGATGCTGAAAAATTTTGCCCTCCCAGGAACTGCACCTCAGTCTTCCAGCCTGCAGCCATTCACTAAAGTCACTGAGTTATCCGACTCATTACAATACAGTAAAAACAAAATCCTGAATGTACTATGTGATTCTACAGTTTACAGTTTTGTTGCAAAATTTATGAAAATAATTAATTACAAGGACTGATGAAGGAAGGGGTCGTTGTTTATTTTATGGTTCTTGCTAGTAGACAGTGTCTGATAATGTTTGTCAGAGAAGAGGACATAATGAATATACTGGGAATGCTCAAAATTCAAAACATATTCCCTGTACTGTGTAAAAAATTCACCCAGTCTCTGAAAACACAGGAATGACTTACTTACCGAGCTGAGCCCTTCTGGAGGAGCTGCCAATTCTGCAGCTACTCAAGAAAACCCCAGCATTTTATGGAACCCGAAAGTTCATTACCGTGTTCACAAGAGCCCTCCACATCCTGAGCCAGATCAATCCAATACATCCCATCCCATTCTATCTCTCTAAGATCCATTTTAATATTGTACACCCACCTACGCCTTGGTTTCCCCAGTGGCCTCTTTCCTTCTGGCTTTCCCACCAATATCCTATATGCATTCCTCGTCTGCCCCCATTCGTGCTACATGACATGCCCACCTCATCCTCCTTGACTTGATCATTCTAATTATACTTGGAGACGAGTACAAGTTATGAAGCTCCTCATTATACAGTTTTCTCCAATCTCCTGTCACTTCATCTCTCTTCGGTCCAAATATTCTCCTCAACACCCTGTTCTCAAACACCCTCAGTCTATGTTCCTCCCTTAATGTCAGAGACCAAGTTTCACAGCCATACGGAACCACAGGGAAAATTATAGTTTTGTATATTCTAATTTTTATGTTTTTGGACAGCAGACGAGAAGACAAAAGGTTCTGGATTGAATGGTAGCAAGCATTACTCAAGTGCAATCTCCTCTTAATTTCCTCCTGAATCAGGTTTCGATCTGTTGTCATTGTTCCCAAATATCTGCACTGTGCCACATTTTCAAAATATCTGTTTCCAGTCTTTATGTCATGATTTTGCCCTGCATTTTGATGACGAGACAGCAAAATATACTTAGTTTTCTCTGTCTTTCCTTCTAGACCAACCTCTTTACTTGTGTCAATTAAAGTTTGTGTGTTTTTCTTTATGGTATCTATATTATCACCCAGTAGATTCACATCATCGGCACAGACCAACAGCTGATGTGTCATGTTTAATTTCAGTCCCATCTGGTTTCTCTGGACCTTCCTAATGACATATTCTAAAGCAAAGTAGAAAAGGAGTGGCGATAAAGCATCTCCTTGTATTTGATCTGTTTCTGAATTTGATTTGTTTTAGATCTCCTTGTTTTAGACCATTCTGGATAGGAAATTTATCAGACAAATGTTTACCTACACGGACTTTACTATACGTTTCGTTTAAACATATTTTAATCAGCCTAACTAGTTTCATGGGTATCCCAAACTCTATTAGAATATTGTGCAATACTTCCCTCCTAACTGAATCACAGGCTTTCTTGAAGTCTATGAATACCTGTTGTACTGTCTCATCGTACTCCCATTTTTTCCCCAGTATCTGACGAATGCAAAAGATCTGATCAGCAGTTGATCTGTTACGTTGTAACCCGCACTGATGATCCCCAATAATTTCATCTATATATGGACTTAACCTTGAGGGAAGAATGTTGGACAAAATTTTGTATGAAGTTGATAGCAGTCAGTTTTATCACCCTTCTTGGGAACTGGTACAATAATAGACTCCTTCCACTGATCAGCCAATTTTTCCTTACACCAAATAGAAGTAATTAGACTGTGGATCTTAGAACATAATATTTTGTCTCCTGCTTGAATAAGTTCTGCCAGAATTTGATCACTACCTGGCGATTTATACCATTTCAATTTTGCAATAGCACTTTCAACCTCAAAAGGGCTAGGATCAAGTACTAACAGCTCAGCTGTATGGATTTCTGTCTGCCTAAAATCACTGACCCCATGTACAATCAATAACTGAGAGCAGTAGTTCCTCCACCTATTCAAAATGTTGTGGGAATCTGCAAGCAGATCACCATTCTCATCCTTCACTAAGTTACTGCTAGGCTGGTAACCCCTCTTAAAGTAATTTATTCTTCTATACAGGTCTCTAACGTTCTTGTTCCTACTGTTCATTGCAAGCTCATCAATTTTGTCTTTCAGATATTCCTTCTTTTTGTTCCTGAAATGCCTGCTGGTTTCACATCTTATATTGTTCAGATTATCCCTATTTAACTTGCTTGGATCCTTTAACAATTGCAATTTGGCCTGCTTTCTTTGATCTAATAATTTTGAGCATACCTTCATCAAACCTTGGCTTATGCTTCTTCGGTTCATGATAACCTAGACTCTCTTTGGCAGACAAAACCTAGAGAAAAGTCTATATTTAAAAGTGACATAAGTTTGGCAGTTTGTTAAAGTAAATATAGCACTTTACATTCTCAGCCAGAGAAAGAGCAGAATAACAGAAACACATTTTCAAAATGACAGAATAACTTACCCATTACAGAGCCAGCTACAATCCCCAGTCCTAAAACTGTGCTTAATGTTGCTCTCAAACATGGTCCTGAAACAATAAAGTTGGTGCAAGAGTTCCAAAGAGATGACAAACAAGTTGCAGAAGAAAATAAACACAAATATTAAAAATTACTCGTCATCATCACCAGAGCAATTCCATCCCTTTAGCAGCAGTCACTGTTCAAGAAGTCCCAAAACTCAATATTATTCTTTTCTTCCCATGTCAATCAATAGCTCTAAATGACACTTTGTTAATCATGTATTAGTCACAAGCCTAATGGATAACAGGATAACTGGATAATTATTATATTTTTAACGGTATATGTAAGTAACTTCACAGTAGGAAGAGAAACGATTATCAGAATTATGTGAATCATATTTCTGGTCGTATCTGCCGGTTAGAGCAGTACTTTCTGTAGAGCACTAAGCAGTCAGGAAATTTCCCATCTAAGAGCAATACTAACATAACACTTATCAGTTCCTTCAGATATTAATTTTTACACCTCTGAGCCTAACACAAATTTTGTAGTTTCCAAAATATGAAGCTGCTGGCACATGTATGATGCAACTAATGTTATGAAATGCACCACCCAGAACTAGTATCCACATTATCTCTGGGCAACCGTGAAAGCCTCAATTATCTAATACAATTACTTTTTAGAAGCCAGATATGGTACCATAAAATCTTAATAATTTTCCGTTTAAACAGCAGTTATACTGTTATTCTGTCATCGACCATAACCCTAATATTGTATCAATATATGAATTACCACAGTTATGACAGTACAACAACTACAATTTCCTAAAAACAACTACATATGCATACAGACTAATGCACCCACCATCAAAGAAGTTAAAATTAATGAAGTATTCATCATAACAATGTTGGGAAAGTACTAAGAGAATTACACGTCTGACTAGGTCTGCCATGTTTGTCAATGTCAAGCAATACTCATGCTGCAAATAGGTTACGTGTCTTTTTTTCTGTGAGCAATTGTATCTTTGGTCCCGTGCTTGAACAGTTGGTAACGAGGCCACAGCTAAGTATTTTTAATACCTTCCAAAAGAGGGCAGCTCTATACAACCGGTGAATCCTGACATCTTCAGGGCACAGTCGAAACCCTTACCTTTAAGAAATCAAGGCAGGAATAGACGTTTGCTAGTGGGCGCAAATTAATTATTATTAACAGGAAAGCGCACGAATGTGCATTACATAGATTCTGGGTTTTAGCCTTGCTATAATCACACAGAGATTTATGGTTGTTTTTACATCTTGTGATGTGGTATACATCGCAGAACTGATCACATAACGAGCACACGCAGTTTTCGCTTGCGTCGTGATAAAACATGTTAATTAATGCATAATGCATAAACGTAAAATTGGGGCAACTCACAGATTTATGAATGTTACATCTAGCGACATCTAACGGCGAGATCTGCGAACTACTTAAACAACGTAAAGACAGGTTGAAGAATAATGTCTTGTGGGATTCGGAGGAACATATCGCCTTCATCTTCAGGATCGAATAAGCCGAGCAACATACCAGCGTGAAAGCAGATGACAAGCTTATTCGAGCCTTAAGTTGGAGGCGATATATTCCTCCGAAACGTTGCTTGACTTTCAACTGACTACACGGCGTTATATTCTAGATATATACGTGGTACAGTCATTAAGTTCGTGAACTTTGATTTTATCGCATCATATTACAAAATATTTACATACACTAACACAGATCCACGTCTACCGCCCAATTAGTCGCCGTTGGCTGCTATGCAAGTCTGCCAACGTTGATATAGCTACCGCAAACATTGCTGAAACATACTGGCAGGAAATTCCCGTACGGCATCTTTTGTGGCTTTGACGACCTCGTCGGATGACTGAAATCTACGACCACGTAGCTTTGCTTTCAAGCGGTGAAGAGAAGAAATCGCATGATGAGAGATCAGGTGAGTACAGAGGGGGTTGAAAAATGGTGACCTGTTGCTTTGCTAGTTTATCTTTGACAAGAACACGCGATGTACAGGGGCGTTGTCGTGCAGCAACAGCCAATTCTTCATGTTAAGCGTTTCACTAGTGGAGTTGCCTAGTTTTTGGCAGAACTTGATGTTTGCCCGTTGTTCAAACTGCCATATTTTCGATTTCCGCCACTCGCATTTAACTGCAGTTCACAATAGAGGCCATAATTCTGCTTACACTGTTCGCACACAACTGCCGCTTTCTGTGACAAGAAATGAACTGACAGTGTATCATATCGTGACTCAACATATCCGCTGTAGTGCAATGCAACAACTTCAGTCCACGAACTTATTGACTGTGGTAGTAGTACTCTTCCTAACCAACGCGGTGAGATCCTCAAATCCTATATAGTCAAATCATTCTAATTATTCACGAAATATGTTATGTGTTTGCTTACCAGGGCCAATTATAAGACCGTGCTTATTGTAACGCTATTGGTGGACGATTATGATGCCATGCAATTCAGGGCTCAGTCAGCAAGAGTGTAAACTGCTATCCCCTTATACTGCCCATCTCCATGAACAAGAGAGCAACGAGTAATTTGTATTACTGTAGTATCTATTTTCTATTAATTAAATTTATGTACATGGCTGCATTGTTGCAACACTGTCATATTTCATACACTTGTTCTCATCATCAAAACATGTCTCAGCCTTTCATGGTCATCCTCAGGTATATCTCATACCTTTAATCTGTTTCATGGGATTGTCGTGCTGAGGAAGTTCAGATTAAAATTGATGAAAGTTAAAGATCAATAATTAATTCACATGTGATCGTGCGTGAACCAACAGTGAAACAACATTGTGACATAGCATGTACCTCAGAATTGCCATGCAGGGGTAAAGTATGTATTCATAAAAATAACTGAAAGAAATAGGATAGTGGGACTATAACCGGCCATTTCTGACAGTTGCATTAATAACACAGAAAATACAAATATCTAAGCACAAACATTTCAGACCACAGGTATATATTGAAGTATATTTGCTCAAAGCAAGAACTGTGAATTCAGCAGAGACAGCTGTTGCTAGGGAACAGTCTGCAAAACATGTCCATTGCTAGGTAACAACTTCGTAAGGAAGCAACAATACCATACTCGTCACTAAGCAACATGGCTGTGCAACAGTGGAGATACTGTTGGAAGCAGTGCTCACTGTGCTGTATAATGAGGGGAGCTGCTATTAGTAGCGAGACCAAGCAGAGTGAGTTGAGAAAGTCTGCAGGCAGACAGTTGAGACCGTTGAGACTTGCAGTAGCTGACACTGGGGACATCTAAGACTGTAACTGAGATTATTCTTCTTTGCGTGATAGAGACTTGTAAAGTGTAGTAACAATTTGCACGTTTAAAGTGTCAAATAAATCCTATTATGAATCCAAACCCCATATATCCTTACTACAATCTGCTTCCAAATAGGTAACATAACTACAACTGGAGTTAGTTTCAGGGACCCAAAGAGAAACCACTGGGAGTCACACAAAGGCAATCTAAGGATAAATCTTTAGATCATTTCATGAAGTATATGCACAATAAGACATTAATCTGTCTGTTGACTAGTTGCAACAGGATATCATCATGTCCTGTCTTAACAACTGTCTGGCCAACACCACTAGATCACCAAGGAAAGCACTGGTGGAATAAAAGGCTGAGTGGGCTAAGAGTCAAAACAAGAAGGCTATTTAACATAGCTAAAAGGACAGGTTAGTAGGATAACTATATGGAAACCCTCACCTGTTACAACCAAGAAATGAAGCTAAACAGTCTTCACAGAGGGGTACTGCCAGGAGATCACTGATGTACCAGGCAGTGCCAGACTCATTAAGATCATGGTGACACAAGAGACCAACAGGCCCAGCACTATCAAGTTACTTGATGGGCAGTCCATCCAAACTGGAGAAAGGACTCTAAAAAAGCTATTCAGAGTTCACTTTCCAGACTGAGCACTGACTAATTCAAATGTTGGACAGGGTCAGCAGAACCTGGACATATGTAAATGCACAATGAACAGAGGAAACTGGAAACTAGAAACTAGCCAGAAATGTAATCAATCGATTAAAAATTAGATGGTAATAGGTACATTCAAATAAGTTAAATCAGTGGGAACTAACAAAATTTACTGGCACTTTTCAGCATGGAACGAAATATTCAGTTCCACACATTTGCAACATATTTACAGCTTGCCTGACATATGGATTTACTCCTATGACTTGGAGGCAGGTTAAAGTGACATTTATTCCTAAGCTAGGGAAATCTGACTACACTGGGGCTATAGCATATCATCCTACCCACCTGTCGCCTTTTCTTCTGAAGATGGAGAACTTGGTGGTTAGACATACTGGGGACAGTGTCCTAAAGAGCATTCTCTACACCAAAATCAACATGCCTACCAAATTGGCAAGTCCACCAAAACTGTACTTCATAATGTGGCAACATGCACAGAAAGAGCTACTGAATTCAAGAAAATCTCTGTAGGAGCATTCCTTGATATAGAGGGAGCTGTTGATAGAACCTCATTTGATGTAATAACATTGGCTGTGAATAAGGTAATGAACTTTCAGGTTCCATAAAATACTGTGGATATCTTGACTGGCTTAAGAAGGGTTCAGCTCCATGGAGTTCTTTATTTTAGTACTACTGGATAATATTCATATTTCATGTAATATAAATGTATTCTGAAAATATTTCTAGATCACATTCAGATGCATTTAAAAGTAAACAATGCAGTCAGTTATTCATTTTTAAAATAATCTCTATACTGTATTTAGTATTATCTTATAAAAAGTGAATGTTAAGTTTGACGTTACTTTGGACAAAATTATATTGAATGTATTTACAAGGAATTCAGTACACTTATACAATACTTAACACAATGAAACATTTTGTGGTGATGAAATAAAATTATACAATTTAATTTGTAATACTAAAATACAAAATCTATCACATCACTATCTTCTTTAAATTTTGTGACACATGGTTACAACAGATGTTTTCCTTCTCCTTGGCTCTGTACAGTGCTGGAAATTGGTTGTTTTCTGGAGTTTCGGTTTTCAGTGCACATATAATAGCTTCTAGTAATCTTTGCCACATAATATAAATACATACTGATGCTATCGGATCAGTTAACATTAATGACCTTTATACACTATGAATTAATATGTAAAATTGTGGCAACAGTTTAAAGAAACAGGACAAAGAATCCTATTTTTGTCTCCTGAAAATAACTAAACTGTAAGCAGATTTCAAACATTCCTCTTGCCTATTTGAATTATGGAGATCAGACTGCTAGAGCAATCAAGGAACTTATTGCTTGACACTTTTACTTAAAACTTATTTAGACTACAGCACATGCTGAAAATGACCGCTGTTATTTTTGTTGGGCGAATATGTTATTGGGGGGGGGGGGGTTTTGAGGATAAAATTGTTCTAGGGCTTAAATTTTTTTT